AAGAATATTCATAGTAGTTTTATTCATTATAGTAAAAAATTGAAAATGACCCACATGTCCTTCATAAAGAAAATGGATGCTTAAATTGTGGCATATTTATACAACTGGATATTTAATAACAAAGTACAAATTACTACTAAAAATCCAATAATATGAATAAATTTCATAAACAATATGTTGAACAAAAGAAACTAGAGCTAAAAAGAGAAAATACCATACATATGTATACACACATATGCCTACATTGATATGAAGTTCAAGAATAGACAAAACTGACTAACCTATGGTGAAAGAACAGTATTTACTTCTGAGTGTGTAGATACTAACCAAATCAGCATGAGGGAACCTCTGGGAAATTCTTTGTATCTTGATCTGGGCAGTGGTTTTGTGTGTGTGTGTGTGTGTGTGTGTGTGTGTGTGTGTGTATACACATGTAAAATTTCACTGACATTGATATTAAAGATTTGTACATTTTATTGTATATTAGTAATAACTCAATATAAAAAGGAACTGCAATATATATGTATGTAAATTAAAAAAATAACTACAAAAATAAAGTGATTCATGAGAAGGAAAAAATGCAAATTAAAGCATATCATTATTCACACATAATATTTTAAAAAATATACTATACACCCTTAAGGTAAGGCTGAAGAAATAGAAGAAATATGGCATTCTCAAACACTGCTATAGCTATGAAAATTGAAAACCAATCACAAATTCAGAATAAGAAAATAGCTAAACACTAAGTACAGAGAAAAACTAACTTATTTTAAATTACTTTAGGCATTTTTGCTATTTCTACTAGAATTGAATTTTTTTCTACTATATCTGTTTTTAAAGGCATTGATTTCAAAGCTTATTAAAAGACTAGAAGTAAAACAGATAAAAGTTTTCTCACTTTTTTCTACTTTTGCTTCTAAACATATTTATGATGCTGTTACCTTTTATTACCTTTTAGTTTCTGGAGTCTATTCAGTAACTTATTAGTCTAAACAGAGTCACAGCAGGATTTTAAAAAGTACTACTTTTCTAGGTCAAAGTAACAAACCATAATGAGATGGGTTTTTCAAGGCTCTGATATAAAGCAAAGTTGATCGTATCCATTCCAAAGCAATATTCACATCTGTGATGGTATGCAATACTATCTCTGCATTTAAATGTTCAATAAGATGTCTGTGCAAACTAATGGGGGAAAAAAACACCTCTGCATTACTAATATTTATTTCAGTACTATAACTCTTACTTTTTAAACTTTAATAATATATAATATACTCATTGCTACATTAATAATTCATGAAAGACAATTTAATTTCAAAAACTGTAAGAAAACCTTAAGTCAGTTCAACTCTTAAAAATTTTTACATTTCTCTTTACTTCATTGGTCTAGAAGGCAAACTATTACTTAAGAAAGTGTATATGTGTGGTGGTGGGGGGAGAAAATATTCTATTTTCCCCAAGAAAAAA